GGGTCGGGCTAATTCTGGTTTAGGGCCGGCATATGGTCCAGTCTCTTTGTGGATTCCTCCGCGTGTTACGTTGCCCTCAGACCCCACCAGGACATGCCAAACCAGGAGGGTAATTCATTTTTGTTGGGGTTTTCTTTCTTGCCATTACTACCTTAATATTTCAGTTATTTCCAACACTACTCAACATCCTACTTTTAATTCACTTTATACACTATGTCATTGCTACTTCTGTTAATGCCTTTGTTTTTTGCTTTTTGCTTTTTTCCTGCAAGAACTAACTTACCTTTGTTATGTTTCTTTTTTTTTTTCTTTTCTTTTCTTTTTTAAGCAAAAGGGAATAAATTTATTGGAGCCCATACGGGAAACCCTAGAGTGGCCCTGCCTACCCTACTGTGCAGGCATGCCCAGCAAAGGGTCACACCATTTACTGCACCCCCATGTCCCAGAGGGACTCCCCTTGAGCCAAGCCCCAAAGCCCCAGGACTGGCTCAGGGTGGGGATGTGTTAAGTTTCTTATACATATGTCATAAGAGTTTCAAGTTGAGTATAGAGCTACACTCATTAAATATTTTCAATATGTTTTTAAGTATAATTAAATAAGTATTTCTTAATATAAATTTCTTTATGAAGTCCTCAGACTCAAGGTTCACTCCATAATGACTTGCTACTATTTTTAAGCACAAAGTTCTTTCTAAAATGACATGTAGCCTGACAATCTAAATAATAAGAAAGAAAGTTGATCATATGTATTGTAGCTTATATTTTATAACTAGATATTTAATAATTTTATTAAATATGAATAATTTATGAAGCAATAAATATAATAGGGAAATAAACTATGGTTTGTCTCAGCGTTTACAGATGCAAATTGTGTTTTAAGGAACAAGAAAAAGAGGGAAGGAAGGAAGAGAGGGAATAAGAGCGGGGAAAGCAATACAGAAGGGAGCGATAATGAGATTAAAATAGAAATAAGTTATTTGGATTGTTAACACCTTTATTTGGGCAAGTGAAAGGTAGTAAAATGTATTGAATAAAGCATGAAGAGACCTGAGATTTCTGTAGTTGGATTCTGTAAAAAGGTGTTCGTAACACATGAACACACCTCAAGAGGTCAGGTTTTAAATGAGCAATAAATTATCCTGAAGTTCTTAAAAACTTTTACTTTTTAATTTTGAAGATAAAAAATACATTCTTTATTGAAATACCTTTAGGCAGGCCTACAGCAAGATATACTCTATGCCAAACATATGCTTCCAGAAACTACTCAAAAGTAATAACTTAAGTCTAAGGGTTTTATTAGACTGAGGATTATTTTTGTCTCTTGTGGATAAAAAGTGAGTTAGTTTTAGGGGGAAAAAAACCCACTGCATTGCTTTCTCAACTTCTGGTTAACACGTGTTAAAGCCACAGAGTAAGGTCTTTTTGCCATCAGAGACTTCTAGGAAGGGGAGACAATCAAGTGAGCCTGGAGCTCTGGGAATTGTGAGTTCCAGTTGCCTCTTAGAACTTATCAGAGAAATGCCATGCTCAAGGAGTTATATGGGCTTTCTGCTTCTTTCTGAAGCTCTTGCTAACTTAACGATCCTTAGCCCCCTCATTCTTGGTCTCCGTTAGCTTATCTTCTTCAAGCTTTATCCTCTCAACTCTAATTAGATCACAAGCTAGCTACCTCCTTTGAAATGTTTCCTATTCTTTAGCCAGACTTCCATTATACTATTGCCTTCCTCCACCATACCAGGATGTTCACAGCCTAAATTCTCACGTTTTCTCTTTTTCTACTTCGGAGTGAGGGGAATTGACCAAAGCGGATGAATAGTAACATTTGACACAACATATTCATTATATTCCTATCCACTGAAGCTTATGAAGTAGATATCACCACCCCACATTTATGCTTGAAATAATTTAAAACCAGCATCGTTAAGCAAGTTGCTCAAGGCTGGGCAGCTAGTCAGTTGAAGAGTGATATCCAATCTACCTCCAGATGAGCTTGCCACTAGGCTTTCCTGCCTCTGCCCAGGCCTGTTGAGTCACTTCTGATTCATAGTAGAATTTCAGTGTTAGAAATTATAGTAGAATTATAATAGAAAATTATAGTAGAATTATGATAGAAAAATTATAGTAGAAAAATCAGTGTTAAAAAAACCCAATTGTTAAGGGGAGAAACTAGAAATCAAAAAGCAAACTAGATAGTCTTTGCAGCATTTTCATAAGTCCTTGAGTGGCACAAATGGTTAAGCACTACAAAGGCTGGCAGTTCAAACCCACCCAGAGGCAGCTGAGAAGGAAGGCCTGGAGGCCCGTTTCTGGAAGGTGGAAAACCCAAACCAAACTCTCTGCCACCAAGAAGATTCCAACTCAAATCAAGGTCATACACCAGGCTAGAACCACCCCATGTGGGTTTCCCAGACTGTAACCGTTTATAGGAGTAGAAAGCCTCAACTTCCTTTCTTGGACAGACTGGTAGTTTGTTACTGCTGACCTTGCGGTTAGCAGGCCAGTGTGTAATCCCTACATCACTAGGGGTCTTTTCTAGAACAATCTATGGAGCAGTTCTAGTCTTTATACACAAATAGACCATGAATCAGAGTACCCTTGACAGGAAACAACAGTCTCCTCCTATTACTATGCTGAGATAATCCATATGTTTAGTAAATACATATATACTTATGTGTGCAATACATACCACTTCTAAAAGGATTCCTTTTTGTAATTTGGTTCTAATATTAAGATGAAGGCCAAATGTCTTTTACTTTTTATTGTTATTTCTATTTTTACAAATAGTAATATGTGGACATCTGTGAGTGAACATCTGTGAATTATTACATTGGCAAATGGTACACTTCCACACTGTATGTAGCCCATGTTACTAATGATAAGATGGACAACAAGCAAACTGACCAAACAACAAACACAACACAAACAGAAGGTAGTAAACGTGGTTCATCTTAGTATGAACATATTATAAGTCAGGAACTTCCTGGTTTCATAAGAATTCTCATTAATGGGGGTGGCAGATAAGGAGCATTTGGATGCTACATGCTGAGTGGATCCTTTGTTTTACCAATCATCTTGGAACTTTAGGATTATTTGTGCCACTATTAGGGAAGCATTGCATTACTAAGCACAAGGCTGAGGTTCAAACTTGTGGTAGCAAAAGGAGGCTTTCTGTTTCTGTAAAGATTTATAGGCCGTGGAAGGCTCTAGAAGTTCACAAGTAGGAATAAACAGAATGGTAATGGGTTTTTGTTTTTATTTATTTGTGGGGGGAGGATGGATATAATATTCAGGAAAACCTTTTATTTTTCTTTTATAAGACAAACATTATTTTGGCTCTGTTATCAGTTTCTAGAAACGCTAAATTAACAGATACTCTAAGTAAAGGATGCATTTGTAATACAATTCTGAGCTACCTTGGAATATATCAACATGTACTGTTAAATTGATCCACTTTTCTAATCTTCTTTTAGCCACTACTTCTTACTCTGACCCAGGCTTTTATAAAAGCTGCTCCTTTCAATCTATCGGGAAAGAGAGAAATAAGGCTTTTTCTGATCTTTCTTTTTATTTTGTCTAACTGGAATATTCTTATTAGTTTGTTCAGACCAAGAGGATTTCTTGTATGTTCTGATATTATTAAGCTATTTAAATGTGCTAGACACGGTATTTATTTAGGAAAGTTTTTTTGTTCTGACATTAACTGAATATGTTAAATAATATTCTAGTTCTCATTTTACATTCATGGAGGCTCAAGATCAAAGGCACCCACTTGTTCGTGGATGGGGCTTGAAGGACTGAGGTCAGAGTCTAATTGAGGAAATCTTAGTCCAGATCCTACCCTCTCCTCCTTTCTGCTTTTATGCCCAATCTGCTTTTAATGCTGAAAATCTAACTTGATCTTTTAAAAGTAATTTCATGCAGCTTAATAAATATTTGTTTATGAGTAAGATTGTTAAAGGTTTTGTTTTGTTTTGGTTTTGGGTTTTTTTGACCAGGTACACTGTATTTCATTGATGATAAATACCATAGTTGGGTCTGGATGTGATTCTTGAGGAGGGGATATTTTAAGTTCATTGGTACATCAAGCTGGGACAAAAACGCCCCAGCAGCCGAGAGCTCATCTCTTCCTCTATAATTTTAGTTTCATGTGCCTATTTTTTTCTAAAACATTCTATATTTTCTCCTTCATTATCATTTTTATATAAATTCTGATTAAATTTTATTTATTTGTTATCTGAACTTTCGGAATATATTTCCTGAAATTCAGTATTTTTAATTTTTCTTTTAAAATATTTTAAATATATATAAAAACCTCAAATTCACTGCCAACAACTTGATGTGGGCGACCCTACAGGACAGGGTAGAAATTTCCCCTTTGAGTTTCTGAGACTGTACCTCTTTATAAGAGTATAAAACCTTGCCTTTCTTCCACCTAAGACTTCCTGATGGTTTCAAACTGCTGAACTAACAGCTAGTAACACAATGCATAAGTGTGTGTGTGACTGTGTGTGTGTGTGTGTGTGTGCATTCCATCTTTCACAATTAAGTAAGAAAGACAGGAGAAGCTGATAATAGGTTGTATTTTTCTTTATTTTCCAATATGTCTTCAACAACTATTAGCCTGTAACTGTTGACCGAGAATAGTGATTCCAAAAGGTAGGTGATTTTCCCCCTCCGTGGGCATTTAACAATACCTGGAGACAGTTTGGTTGGGTTTTGTGTGTGTATGGGTGTGTGCATGAGGTCACTGCTGGTATTTGCTAGAGACTAGACACACCATTAAACATCCTACAATACTCAGGACAGCCTCCACAACAAAGACTTCAGCAGTTTGAAATGTGACATCACCATTGAGAAACCTCGAATAGTGAAAAGCGTTAGTACATTTGGCTGCTAAATGAAAGTAGGGAGGTTTGAGCATTCCCAGAGTCCACCTTGTAAGAAAGTATTGGCAATCTACTTCTGAAAAGTCCACCACTGAAAATCTTTTTTTTTTTCTTCTGTGTAATCCCTCATTCAATCTGGACCCGCCACAAAGACAGACAGAAAGCACGGGGACTTTTTGTTCTTTCGCATCCTAGTGCAAACCAGAACAATGGTCAATTGTCTCAGGTCTATCAGAGGATGCTCGAAACTCTTATGTTCTATTCTAATATACATGGCATCATCATGAATCACAATTACATTGATAGCAACATGTATACTTTTACTGTAGGCTTTTACATAGCATGAGAACTAGGTATTGGACTGCATATTTTTTCTTATATACAAATTATTGTGATTTGAGTGACCTTATTTTAAAGAAACCAAAATAATAAATCCTCTACTATTCTTACTACGTTTTAGTACTTTAGTAAGAAACCAGAATTATGGATTCCTCTTACCCCATAAAACATAAATAGATTGATGATGACAGTGAATCTGCAAATTTGCAGTCCCCAAATTCTCTTAATTCTTAATATTTTTACTATGCTATTGGTGTTTGCTAAAGCAAATATCCAGACTTCACTTATTCATCAAAATTTAGTTACAACCATTTATCTATCTTCATTTCCATCCCCTTTAGAAGCAGTCTTCTATCATCAAGAACAAGGTTCTGACTGCTATCAAATTGAGTTTGCTTCTTCAAATAGTTTGGGCACAATTGTCATTTAGTAGAATAAACATAGCTCCATTATCTTAATGTCTTCCTTAACAAGTCCAAGATTAGACTGCATCTCCAAAACTCCCACTGGGCAGCATTTAAGAAGTGAGCAATATTTCTGTCTGCCTAAATCAAGTAATCCCAAATGTAAGTAATTTACAGGAAGGCATCCGGGACTGTTACAGTAAACATATGGCACTGTGTCACTGGAAATCCTGTATCTCCCCACATGTTTGATCAACAGCCAGATGGAAGCTTTTATCACATTTATTTAATCTGAAATATGCAAGGTAATTACACTGGACCTTTGATTCAAGGCCTTTGTGTCTCAAGAGAAGTCAGGAAATGAGTTTGTCGGTTGCAAAGTGAAGTACTAATAACCTTGTGGGTAAAATTTACATCTACCACTGCCTAGAGTTGACTATTGCTGTGAATGACATTGTACCTCAATGAAGTGAGGTCAAAGAACTGTCCTAACCTTGGGTAAGAGGAGAAAGGGACTCAGAGAAGCCCACCATACTGCTTACTCTTTTTAGAATTTTCCAAGTAAGAAAAAATGGCACAGCAGAACTTTATTTGACATTGGGTATATAAAGCTTGATCATTTATTTGATATTGGATGGATAAAACTTGATCATTCAAATTCTACATTTTTACAAGGCTCTCAGTAGTGGAATGGTTAAAGTCTTGGCTGCTAACCAAGAGGTTGCTGGTTAGAACCAGGGCTTGGGAGAAAGTACTGGACAATCTGCTCCTGTACAATGACCTATTGCCCTTGAGTTGATGACACCTCTTATTGACCCCATGGGAAAGACTTGAACTGTCCCAGAGTTCCCAAGGCTGTACTCTTTATGGAAGCGGACTGCAGTACCTTTCTTTCACAGAGCTGCTAGTGAATTCCAGCCACAGAGCTTTCAGTTAGCAGACAAGCCCGTAGCCACTGTGCCATCCACCTTTGTCCCCACAAAGATTCCAAAAAAACCCAATAATTGTCACTGAGTCATTACCTACTGACGGCAACTCGAGTTGTTCAGCTCTCTCCATTAGGATCCCCATGAATCAGAACCAGCATGAAAGCACACAGAAGAACATATTTTACATACGTTGTAAAATTTGAATATGCAAAGCTGAACCACATTAAAAACCCATCTAGTGAGTTCTGACTAATAATGATCTTATAGGACAGAAGAGAACGACACTATAGGTTTTCTTGGGCTGCAATTTTTACAGAACCAAATTGCCTTGGCTTTCTCTTGTGTAGTAACTGGGGGACCTTCCAGTTAGCAGCCATGTGCTTCAGCCAATGACACCAACATTCTTGAGCACTGAAATAATATGTCTAGTAGATGTCGGTTATCGCTGTTCGATGGGGTAATAGAAGACTTCCATTAAGCATGATAGATTACATTAGCACTTGAGATTTGTGTTATGTAATTTCACATTTAAATTTTGAAAAAAATAACATGCATATATGTGTGTTAGTAAGATATTTCTATTGATGTATGTATTGATTGTGATAAGAATTGTCTGAACCTCTAATAAAATGATTTAAAAAAAGATATTGAGGTGGGAGGGCTTCTTTGAAGGGTTTCTTCAAGCGAAGGAAGAGTTAAAAGGTCAAGGGCAGAAAAAGAAGAAGAAGAACAAAAAAGATATTTCTACAAAATCATAGCATCCTTTATTAGACAACAAAAAAACCCCAAAATTTGAAACTATTGTTTCTCAACATATTCTCCACTTCTGAAGGTGGCGATTCCATCCCTTTTAGGCATTTCTTAAGAAATTCTGAACTCCAATTTTTACCACATCAAAGTGATAGCGTGGGCATACTCGAGGAACTCAAACTGAGTTTCTTTTAAGTGTTTTTTGAATTTGGGGAACCAAAAGAAATATGAAGGAACAAACAGGTAGCGCAAAAAACTTTCCCTGTGGAATGTTGACAGATAGCCCTTGCCGTGATCACAGGTGAGCAGGTGCATGCCTTGATTGAGAAACTTTTTTTTTTCCAGAAACTTTCCTGGACTTTTTTCTCACCAATGCATTTTTCAGTTTTGTTAAAACTTCTTCCTATGAAGACCACATGATACTCGGGTGCACACATCCACTGATCACAGAAATATGTTCGAATATATTTTGCTAGGAACAAACCTCAACGTGTATGAACTGGAAGCCTAGAAGCCAGACAGTTTGCCTGCTGCTGCTGTTGTTGGGTGTTGTTGAGTCTGCTTGGACTCGCAGTGACTCTACAGACAATAGGACAAAGTAATGTCTGGTCCTCAGCTTTCTGTCTGACACATATATTTCCTTTTTTGGGGGTGGGATTTGATTTTGTTTCCCCCTTATCCTCATTCTCTCCCCGCCCCCCAAATCCCCCCTACCCTCATGGTATCGCTACTCTTATTATTGGTCCTGGGGTGTTTATCTGTCCTAGATTCTGTGTGTCCAGAACTCATATCTGTACCAGTGTACATGCTCTGTTCTAGCCAGATTTGGGGGAGAGGAACCATTAAAGAACTAGAGGAATGTTGTGTGTTTCATCAGTGCTGTACTGCACCCTGGCTGACTCGTCCCTTCCTTGTGACCCTTCTGTGAGGGGTCCTCCAACTGTCTACAGATGGGTCTTGGGTCTCCATTCTGACACATCTCATTTGCACTGAAATGGTTGTTTGTTTTGAGTCTTCTGATGCCAGACACCCTATCCTATCGACACCTTATGATCACATGGTTGGTGTACTTCTTCCTTGTGGGCTTTGTTGCTTCCCTGCTTCATGGCTGCTGTTTAACTTCAAACCTTTAAGACCCCAGACACCATATCTTGTAATAGTCAGACACCATCAGCTTCCTTCTCCCATTAAGCACCCATTTTGTCTTTAGCGATTGTGTTGGAAAGATGAGCATCACAGAGTGCCAGGTCATAAGAATGAAGTGTTCTTGCATTGAGGGAGGACTTGAGTAGAGGCCCAATGTCCTTCTGTTACCTTAATACTTAACCTATAAATATATGTACATAGGTCCCTATTGTTATATATTAATATATTTACATAAGTACATGCCTTTGTTTGACACATATTTTCAACACCCACAAGAGAAAAATTCACAGAAACTATGACAATGTCTAATGTTTTATTGATGTTTTCAAGGAGAAAATGTAATTAAGTCTTTGAAATCCATAAAGCATGCCAGTACTAAATAAAGAAAAATAAGTTTTCCATTACTACAGAATATAAATAATTATAGTCAATTAAATCTAAATCTGAAGTGACCCAAAACATTGTATTGCTTGATCAAAAATACTAATATATATTGAAGTTGCCCTAGTTAGCTCATATGGAATATTTTATACTACTTAAAATAATACCTATAATGGCATAAAATTATCTTATCAATAATTTATCTTTTATCTTCTAACACTGAGCCAATGTGTTATAGAATACAGCTATTTTGTAGTTATCCCAAATCTTATTTGAGATGTCTTTTAAGTTTGGTGTCCTCTTTATTTCCAAAGCCATGACCCATAGGGTCAGTAGGTATGTATGCCATTATGTGTATATTGAGCATCTTTTATGTAGTGGGTGATATACTAAAATTATTCTGTGTGAGACTCCATTCCATATTCACAAATCTATAAGGTAGTTGACCAGTGACAATAGAATTTTAGAGAAAAGTAAATCAAAACGCAGTGATATAAAAGTAATTTCTTTATGCTCTCTCAATTCAAACAAGCTGAGTGGAGTTAAGGAGCCCTGATGAGGATATGAGTTAGGTGTTGGGCTGTTAACCACACGGATGGTAGTTTAAAGCCACCAGCCACTCCTCTGGAGATAAATGAGGCTGTCTGGTCCAGTAAAGATGTACAGCTTTAAAACTCTGCAAAGGGCCACTGTGAGTCAGACTCACTACACAGCAAGCAGTAGCTGTAGCTGTAGGAGTCCAGTTTAAACACTTCTTACAGTAAGAATTTTACCTGAGATTTTGATTCACTCACAGTCAATCTTATATTATAACGGCAGATAGTTTGCCCAAAATGAACATTTAAATTCTTCTTTGGTAAAAAACTATTTTAAGGATTATTCTTGTTTTTATTTCTGTTTTATACTTAACAATATCACCAAGAAAAACCTTATAGGCAGTGTAGTAGTTATAATTTTTCTCATATGCAAAATTTTAAAAAATTTTGTTTCTGTCAACAAAATGAAGAAGCAGATACTAACAATGCCAGTGCTAATGTACGTGTTGCTGTAGAAAGTGAACTTGCGAAATAATGTACTTGTCCTTGTTATTTTCCTCTGTGTATCACCTTGCAAGGAGTACTGGTAGCACAGTGGATTTTGCATAGGACGGCTAGCTATTTAAGGTCAGCAGTACAACACTACGAAGCCCTCCCCGTGCTTCTACTCCTCTGGAGTTCGTCTCTGAGCCCCACAGAGACAAGTCCACTCGGTCCTATACGGTGACTCTGAGTCGGAATCCACTCAATGGCCGCAGT